CCATATCATTAAGGCATTTTTTGAAACAAGGAGGGGTAGAGGATTTCCATTCCCTCAAAATAACCCATTTTGTGACCACCAGACCAAACATAAGAGCCTGCTGGAGAGACATGGGAAGAGTAAGAGAGAATTTAAAGCAACCAAAAATTATCAAATGCTTATCAGGGGTCAGATGTCTGCCATAAACTTTAATATAGATTTGAAATATCTTGCACCAGAAGTCCATAAGTTTAGGGCAGGAGCAGAACAAATGAGCCAGAGTCCCATCATCTGATTTACATTTGTCACAAGTCAGAGAGACACAGGGAAATAATTTGTTAAGTTTGGTTTTGGAAGCGTGCAGCCGATGGATAACTTTGAACTGAATAAGTTCTAGAATTGATGGAGCAGGTTTTAATTCTCGACAGACTCTGATCCCAAAGCTCATCTGAAATCTCACCTATCAGAGCTCCAGGACTCTTTTATATGGTTAGACGGTGGGGTCGAACTGAAAAGATTGACAAAATGAGAAATTAACTGTTTAGATGTAGTTTTTTTTTAATAAGCTCATAGAAGCTGTGCTGCTCATGTAGTGTTTCAAAGTGGGGGATGTGCCGTCTGACAAAATTACGAACTTGCAAGTATCTGAAAAAGTGGCTAGAAGGGAGAACAAATATTGATTGGAGTTGCATGAACGAGGCAAAATGATTACTTATGTATAGGTCCTTAATAAGAGCTGTGCCCTTATTTAACCAGTGCTTAAAGACTGCATCCATTGTGCCTGGTTTAAATACGGTGTTCTGAGAAATGGGAGCATAGATGGAGAAACCAGGGAGACTCAAAACAGTCTTTATCTGCTTGAGAATCCTGAATGAATTTTTTAGCACGAAATTATCCTTTAGCTGTTGGAATGGTAAAGAGAAATTGGAAAACGGTGCAGCAGCTAAAGAGGAACTAGTAAATGGTAAATGGACTGTACTTCTACAGCTCCTTTCTATCTTATCAAGACACTCACAGCTCTTTACAACAATCTGTGCCTCATTTACCCGTTCATACAGCACAATACTAGATCTCTACAAAGAATAATCAGAGCTTTATCACATTCATACACCGATGGGACACACATCAGAGGCAATGAGGGGTTCAGTGTCTTGCCCAGGGACACTTCAGCATGTGACTGCTGCTGGATTCGAACACCAACTCTTGCATTGGAGGACGACTGCTCTAACCACTCAGCCAAATCTGCCCAACTAGTAAGGGCTAAGGAGGCAACATTTTCATTCAGCAGCCAATTATGCAGTAGCAAGTCCACCGTTTCATCCCCCTGATAGACATGACTCCAAAAAACCCAGGTTCTGGCATTACAAGCCCAGTAATAATGGTGAAAAATAGGGAGGCTAAGCCCACCATCAGCAGTAGGTTTCTGTAGGTGTAACTGAGATTCAAGGATGTTTACCAGTCCAAACAAAAGAAATGATAATACACTCTATCATATTAAAAAACAAAGCAGTACGATAAATGGGTATATTTTGAAAAAGATAAGTTAATTTTGGGAGGACAACCATCTTGACAACATTAACACAGCCAATCAAGGAAAGACGGAGGAGTTTCCACTTTTCCACCATTGATTTAAGTTTGTTGATCAGATCCAAGTAAAGTCAGGTCAGTCAAGTAAAATTTATTTGTATAGCACATTTAAAACAGGAACTATTAGCAAAGTGAAACCAAAAAGGTCCATGCTCATTGGGTATTTGGGTATTACCAAAGTGCTTGACAAAAGAAACAACATACATGGAGAGACGAGGCTGCAGCCACATGAGCAGCACCACCTTTTTTATTATTATTAGACCTTTATTTATACAAGTTAGTTCCCACTGAGCCTCGAAGGATCCTTTACAAGAGACCTGTTACATACAACATACAGGCAGATGAGAAAAAGAGGACACGAGGGTGGAGGAAGCCAAAAAAACATCATGTCTCAGCATTTTCATTAGATAAAAAAGTGACGTGAGGGAAGGGAGTTCTAACAACCTCAGAACAAAAGGCAGCATAAATAGACATAAGATACATTTATGGAGGAGGAGGCCGACAAAGGTGGTGAGATGACCATGAACGCTGCCAGAAAGTTCCATAGTCCTAATAAGAGATAGCACAGTGTCTATCAGCCGAGTCACCTCCGATCTACACTGTAGTTGTGGTTCCTAGAGTTTCCAAAAACAGAATGGGAGGAAGATCTTTCAGTTCTCAGGCTCCTCTCTTGTGGAACTAACTTCCAGTTTCTGTCCATGAGGCTGACACATTGTCCAGTTTTAAGACTTTCCTTTTTGATAAATCCTATAGTTAGGGTCAGCTTGGGTTTCCTGAGCTGTCCCTTAGTTCTGCTGCTATAGACTTAGACTGCTGGAGGACAAACTGACCACACTGTTCACTCTGCTGCTTCTTTACTTACTCTGCTCAACCTGGTTTGTATTTGTAATTTTTTTTTATCCTTAACATGTTTTTTTGTCTTTCAGGTACACCTGGACCTATATCTGGACCTGGACCTATATCTGGACCTGCCATTCTGTGTTCGTCTGTCTCTCCTTCCTGTCCTCTCAAACCAGCCGGTCACTTGTCCTGAGCTGGTTCTGCTGGAGGTTTCTTCCTGTTAAAGGGAGTTTTTCTCTCCACTGTCTCCACTGTGCTTGCTCAGGATGGGAGACTGCAACGAAGCCAAGATTCAACTTGTCTGCTGGATTCCTTAGAGAACTTTACTAATTGACTTTTCTATGTATGTGAATGTTCCTGTAAAGTGCCCCAAGACAACTTTGTGGTGATTTGGTGCTATATAAAAACACTGAATTGAATTGAACTGAACTGAATTGAATTGCTGTCAGGACGTTTGAAGCTACAGAACTTCAGAAACAGGCTGAAGGAACCTTTTAGTTCCCTGGAAAAATCAGACATCAGACAGAAAACCTGATGCTTTTATTAAGCATTGTTGTATAGGTCGGAAAATGAAAACTAAAAACATGTAAGAAATGGTAAATGGTAAATGACTGTACTTATATAACACCTTTCTATCTTACTGAGATACTCAAAGAGCTTTACAACAATCTGTGTCCTTATTGACCCATTCATACAGCACTCTATTATATCTCTACAAATCTAATTGAACAAATCATTCTAAAGAGACTTATCAGAAATTTATCACATTCATACACTGATGGGACACATCAGAGGCAGTGAGGGGTTCAGTGTCTTGCCCAGGGACACTTCTGCATGTGACTGCTGGTGGACTCGAACCCCCAACTCTTGCATTGGAGGACGACTGCTCTAACCACTCAGCCACAGCCGCCCCAAGAAACTGCTGATTAATGAAGGTTGAGTTATAAACCAGAGCTGAACCCCAGTCCAGTTCTGCCATTGAAACACCAGACCTCAGATAGGCAGATCATACATTCAGAGAGCTTACGGATCATTTCTGACTCACTATCTTTTCCCTACGATTTATCAAAGACTCGTTAAAAAGCAGATAATAAATGAAAGCTAAAAACAAATATTCTCCATACACTGACAGCAGCAATGATGATGATGATGACGATGATGATGGTGAAGAGTGTGGGGGGCGGCAGGGTGAAAACACACTGCCGTACTCGAGAATCCACGAGTGGGAGGCAAACACACACTTCATCTCACTCAGTGGTGGAAACCGTGACCAGTACCAATGAGCAAACCACATCCTGACACCAACCAGACTGTTTACACCAGAAAACACACACTCAGGTTGCCATGGTGATGAGAATACCAACGCCACAGTCATCAGCTACAAAATAAAATCTGTTCCAAGTCAGATAACCCAGCAGGCAGCAAACACAATACTGATGCCAACTTACCCCAGTGTTGTCATGGTGACGATTGTGTACCAGAAGGAGGCTGGAATGGAGGTGAAGTCGGATCCCTTGGTGCCCTTCTCGGCGTAGAACATGACAGTGGCAAAGATGATGATGGCCATGGTGAGGGAGAAGAGCAGGAAGCCGAGCTCTGAGGCGCAGCTCTTCAGCGTGTAGCCCAGAATCCTTAGACCCTGCGAGTGACGTGAGAACTTGAAGATCCTGAAGACTCGGAAAACCCGAAGAGTGACGAAGGCGCCGCTCACATCCTCATTCTCTGGCATCACCAGACCGATGTAGTAGGGCATGATGGCCACTACGTCAATCACAGACATCACAGAGCGCATGAACTTACAGCGGCTCGGCGCGGCGAACAGTCGCATCAGGTACTCGAAGGTGAATATCAGCACACAGGCCGTGTCCATGCAGAAGAAGGCCAGCTGGTACTTCTCCCCACAGGGGAGCTCTTTGACACTGCCCTTTGGGGCTCGGCAGGGCACTGTCTCCACCACGTTGGCAATGACCGACACGGCAATGAAGAAGCCTGTGACGTAGTAGAAGACCAGGGCCATGGTGGAGGTGTGGGGGTTCTCAAAGGCTCGCCATAAACGCTCCCTGGGAGTGCTGTGTGGAGGCAGGGGGGCATCAGTTGCCTCGTTGGCCTCTGTGTCCTCCGCCAGACGCTCCTGGTTCTCCTTCTTCCTGTCACGATATTCCTGAATGACAGAACGAAGGAAATGTCTTTAGATCTCAAAGAACATGTGAGAAGCAACAATCAGGCTACTGGACTGAGGATGAAGATTTCTTTAGGAAACTAAACTTAACAGAAGTTATATAAAACACACATTTGTACAGATTTCACAACCAGATGTTGTGTTACTCTTCCGGTAAGATGGCGCCCGTGTACATGGCTTGCAATCCACCTTTGCTGATGGTGTTCGGATTATTTTTGTTTTTGGCATTTCACATCTCTGAGATCAACTCTCTGCTGGTGTATGACAGACAACAACTTTTGAATCTTAGTTTTTCTGTCACTGAAGTCGCTTATTTGGACCATTATCAGCGTACCTCTGGTACCCATCTAACTCCTAAGTCATGCATTCCTGCACGTCATAGCCGGACCATTAACCACTTCACTGCCGCACGTTTCACAGATGTTTATAACTCTGAAATGATCATTCAGGCCCCAGTGTTTCTCACCACCACTGAGGAGCTGACATCCCAGTTCAACTCTGTCTGCTTAAAGACTCTGGATCATGTTGCACCTGTTAAAACCAAAAAATCAAAACTGAGAGCAGAACCTTGGCTGAGTGACGTCACCAAAGCCGTTAGGCAGCAATGTAGGAGGGCGGAGCGCAAGTGGAGGAAAGACAGGCTACAGGTATCTTTCCAGATACTTAAAGAGAGTTGGAGCTGTTATCAGAAAGCAGTGAAAGCTGCTAAATCAAAATACTTCTCTGATATAATTACCTCAAACTCTCACAACCCACGTGTCCTCTTCTCCACCCTAAACTCTGTTCTCCACCTCACTGAACCATCACCTCTGGAAGCCTCGACTGAGCTATGCAACAACTTCTTACATTTCTTTTTGGAAAAAATTGCGACCACCAGAGCTCTCATTTCCCCTCCAACTCATGACCCATCCATCCCACCTCAATCTGTAGCTCCTTTTGACCATTTTGAACCCATCACTCTATCTTTTCTAGAGCAGGTCATGTGCAGCTTGAAACCTTCTGGTTCCCCCTTTGATGTGGTCCCCCCTCGACTACTAAAGGAGGTTTTTCCAACTCTAGGTCCGTCTATTCTTGATATAGTAAACAGTAGTTTATCCACTGGGGTGGTGCCAAAAACCTTTAAACATGCTGCTGTCCAGCCTCTCCTGAAAAAAACCAACCTTGACCCCTCAGTCGTTTCCAGCTACCGGCCTGTCTCCAAACTCCCATTTGTTTCTAAAGTACTGGGGCAAATAGTCGAGCCCCAGTTGAAGTGCTTCCTGGAGGATCACGCCATCTTAGAGCTTTTCCAATCTGGCTTTAAACCTCTCCACAGCACTGAAACTGCCCTGCTGAAGGTCTTTAACGACATCTTCAGATCCACAGATACCGGTGATTCTGTGCTGCTTGTCCTGTTGGACCTCACAGCCGCCTTTGACACCATCGACCATGAGATCCTCATTGCTAGGTTGGAGCAGTGGGTGGGC